GGTAGGTAGGTAGGTAGGGAGGTGGGTAGGTAGGTAGGTGGGTAGGTATGTGGGTAGGTGGGTAGGTGGGTAGGTGGGTGGGTAGGTGGGTAGGTGGGTGGGAAGGTAGGTAGGTAGGTAGGTGGGTAGGTAGGTGGGTAGGTGTGTAGGTAGGTAGGTAGGCAGGCGGGTAGGTGGGCGGGTAGGCAGGTAGGTACGTAGGTAGATAGGTAGGTAGGTGGGTAGGTGGGTAGGTGGGTGGGTAGTGGGTAGGTAGGTGGGTAGGTGGGTGGGAAGGTAGGTGGGTAGGTAGGTAGGGAGGTGGGTAGGTAGGTAGGTGGGTAGGTAGGTGGGTAGGTGGGTGGGGAGGTGGGTAGGTGGGTGGGAAGGTAGGTAGGTAGGTGGGTAGGTAGGTGGGTAGGTGGGTAGGTAGGTAAGTAGGTGGGAAAGTAGGTGGGTAGGTGGGTGGGGAGGTGGATGGGAAGCCAGGTGGGTAGGTAGGTAGGTAGGTAGGAAGTGGGTAGGTGGGTAGGTAAGTAGGTAGGTAGGTGGGTAGGTAGGTAGATGGAAAGGTAGGTAGGTGGGTAGGTAGGTAGGTGGGTACGTAGGTAGGTAAGTAAGTGGGTAGGTAAGTGGGTAGGTAGGTAGGTAGGTATGTGGGTTGGTGGGTGGGTAGGTAGGTTTGTAGGTAGGTAGGTAGGTAGGTGGGTAGATAGGTAGGTGCATAGGTAGGTGGGTAGGTAGGCGGGTAGGTAAGTGGGTGGGTAGGTAGGTAGGTAGGTGGGTAGGTAGGTGGGTGGGTAGGTAGGTGGGTAGGAGGGTGGGTGGGTAGGTATGTGGCTAGGGAGGGAGGGCGGTAGGTAGATAGGTAGGTAAGTAGGTGTGTAAGTAGGTAGGTACATACGTGGGTAGGTAGGTGGGTGGGTAGGTAGGTGGGTAGGTAGGTGGGTGGGTAGGTGAGTGGGTAGGTACGTGGGTAGGTAGGTGGGTAGGTGGGTGGGTAGGTAGGTGGGTAGGTAGGTAGGTAGGTGGCTAGGTAGGTAGGTAGGTAGGTGGGTAGGTAGCTGGGTGGGTAAGTAGGTAGGTAACTTGGTGGGTAGGTAAGTGGGTAGGTAGGTGGGTTGGTGGGTGGGTGGGTAGGTGGGTAGGTAGGTAGGTAGGTAGCTAGGTAGGTGGGTAGGTGAGTGGGAAGGTAGCTGGGTAGGTAGGTAGTTAGGTGGGTAGGTAGGTATGTGGGTAGATAGGTAGGTAGGTAGCTAGGTAGGTAGGTAGATAGGTATGTAGGTGGGTAGGTTGGTAGGTGGGTAAGTAGGTGGCTAGGTGGGTGGGCAGGTAGGTAGGTGGCTAGGTAGGGAGGTAGGGAGGTAGATAGGTAGGTAGGTGTGTAGGTAGATAGGTAGGTAGGTAGGTAGGTAGGTGGTTAGGTAGGTAGATAGGTGGGTAGGTAGGTAGGTGGGTATGTAGGTAGGTGGGTATGTAGGTAGTTAGATAGGTAGGTAGGTAGATAGGTAGATAGGTAGGTAGGTAGGTTGGTAGATAGGTAGGTAGATAGTTAGGTAGATAGGTAGGTAGATAGGTAAGTAGGTAGGTAGGTAGATAGGTAGGTAGGTAGGCAGGTAGGTAGATAGGTAGGTAGGTAGGCAGGTAGGTAGATAGGTAGGTAGGTAGGCAGGTAGGTATGTAGACAGGTAAGGGGGATAGATTAGAGATGGATGGATTGATGTACGGCTATGTGGGTAGGTGGATGGGTGGACGGATGGACAGACGGACGAACGGATGAAGAGTGAGGGAGCTTCTTGGCTCGGGGGGAGGTGTACGGATCTGCCACGGGGCCGAGTCTGGTGAGGATTCATTGACCCCATTCCTAAGGGCATGGACAGCAGGACCAGGCCCACCTGGCAGACCTCCAGGAACGCGGGGGCCTCGCTGAAGGGGGCCGGCGACTGGGGGGAGGTGTGCCAGCGGTCAGGGCCCCCGTCCCCTTCGGGTGTGCCTGGGCTGACTGCGGTAGTCAGCCTGGTCCCACCCCGCACTGGCCTGTGCCCCCACCCCCAGTGCCTGTGTTCCGTGTTTGCCCTCTCCCCGCCCACCACACCTGGTCCCTGGGGTGGGGTCCGGGTCACCCACTCTCAGTCTCCACGGCAGTCTTGAGCCCCCAGGCCGGCCCAGGCAGGCTACAGGCAGGGCTTCGGGGTCCACGCCCACCTCAGGGGCAGGCAGCTTCCTTCTCAGGCCAGGTCACCCTCACCAGGCTGACCTGAAATGGGGGGGGCCTGAGGTGGCCAGGGGCAGAGCATGGCAGAGGAGAGAGCGGATGGTGTTCCCAAAACGACACGTCCGTGTCCTGACCCCCAGAACCTGTGAATGCGCCTTGTTTGGAAAAAGGGTCCCTGAGGACATAATTAAGGTAACGATCTCAGGTGAGGTAATCCAGGATTAATTGTCAGCTGCCTTCGAGTTGATTCCGACTCGTGGTGACCCACTGTGTGCAGAGCAGAAGTGCTCCACAGAGTGTTCAAGGCTGTGACCTTTTGGAAGCCGGTCGCCAGGCCTGTCTTCCAAGGCTCCTCTGGGTGGGTAGTCAGGCACTCAACGTTTGCACCACCCAGGGACTTACTGAAGTCCCTCACTAAATCCAATGACAAGTGTCCTTAGAGGAGACAGAAGAGACAGCACCATGTGAAGACGGAGCAGATTGGAGAAATGTGGCCACAAGCCACGGAACAGCCGGAGCCACCAGAAGCTGGAGGAGACAAGAAAGGACCCTCCCTAGAGGCTCCGGAGGGAGCCCGGCCCCGCCACCCCGGACGCCGGACGGACTTGTGGCTCCAGAGCCGAGGAGGCATTCCTGCTGTTTGAAGCCCCCGTTTGCTGTACTTTGTTGCAGCGGCTGCAGGACACTCACACAGCTAGTGTCCTACATTCCCGAAGTGATTTCCAAATTACCCTCAGGCCCCCAGCTGCGCCCCCTGCTCAGATCCACTGCCCCCTCTGTGAGCCCCTCACCCACCCTCCAGAAGATGAACACGGCAGTGGGCTTGGCAGTGGGGGTTTATTCAGAGCTGAGCAGGCCCACCGCAGGCACGGGCGGCCCCTTCGGCAGGGGAGGCCTGGGGAGAGGCCGGATGGGCAGGGGTCTCGGGGCAGCACTCCCCTAGATCAGCTCCTGCGTCAGGAAGGGGGCTCAGGTCCTGCGTGCGACCCTGCGGGTCAGGGGTTAGGGCCCGGGCTTGGGAGTGGGTGTCCTAGCTCCGTGCCTTCAGGCAAACCCTGAACCTCAGTTTCATTATCTGCAAAATGGGGCCACGGTCCCCTTCTCGGGGCTGTGCAGAGTAACATGCGGTTTTGCAGGTGATGGGTCACACGGCCACAGGGGCCCCATGACACTCCCCACGGGGGCCTGTGCTCCACTGCGCCCCACCTGGACGGCAGGCAGGCGGCAACAAGAGCCACCCCTCCTCCCCTCTCCCCCTCCGTGTCCCCCGCCCGGACCCTCGGGCTCCTCGCCCAACCACAAAGCAGACGCACCCCTGGCTTCCCCCTATCCGTTTTGTTGTTTGTCCCATTTAGAGGAAGGGGCAAAGGGCCCCTCCCACCCCAGGCCGGGATCAGTCGGGGGAAGCCAGCGGCGGGGTCGGGGGCATTGGTGCAGACCCAGGCCCCACACTCACCTCCTTCAGGAACTGAGCACACTTTCCTGCAGACGGTAGGGGGGTGCAGCGTGAGGGGCAGCCAGGACAGCCTCACCCCCACGCCCGAGGCCGGGACCTCACCTTGCCGGGCCAGCAGGTACAGCCCGGTGTCAGCTGTCAGCTCTCGGAACTTCCAGAAGCCGGGCTCATTCTCGTCCTGGAGGCTTCGGCCTGTGAGCAGAGGCAGCTGGGCCTGCGGGCGGCAGGCGGGGGTGCCCAGGGAGGCAGGCAGCCCGGCTGCGGCACCCCACCCCCTGCTGGCTTACTGAAGTACTTGAGCACCTCGAAGTCGCGGCCCCGCCAGTGCAGGGACACCCTCAGGATGGCGTAGTGCTCGTAGTCTGTGTCCAGCACCTGGAGCTCCCTGCGGCCTGGGGCCAGCAGGTGGGAGGAGACGTCTGCAGGGCTGGGCTGCGGGGCTCCCCCACCCTCACCCGCCTGAGCCCGGGCCCTCTCCTGATGCCCAGGGGACGGTGGGGACCTCAGGGCCTGGTCTGCAGGTACCAAGTACACTGCACTGCAGTTGCAACGCTCGGGGGTTCCCCCATGCCGTAGGCTGGGGCAGAGCCTGGACCCCTCCCCGCCCGTGATTCTCTGGAGAGTGGGGCTCAAGCCGCCTTTGGAGGGTGACCTGTGGGGGGTGGGGGAGAGTCTGGGCCACCAGCACAGGGAACAGAGCAAGAAAGAGTGAGACCAAGCACAGTTGCCGCGCAGAGCCGGGGTAGGACAGACCACAGCCCTTACCAGGAAAAACAAATTTCCCTGAAACGTCCATTTCTGAGCCCACAATTTTTTCGGTCTCACAGCTTCCTGAGCTGAAAGGCAGCAAACGCACATTAGCAAGGAGGCAGCCAACACTTCATCCTTGCATCTCTCGGGGCTGCATCTTTGGGGAAGGACGCTGTCCCCGCCCCAGGAAAACCTGAAGCAGAGCAGTGAGGTGCAGGGCAGGCCATTCCCCACGTGTCCACCAGGGGGCCTGTCGCCTGCAGGAAGTGGCCGGCCCTTAGCTGTCTTGCTCTTACAGAATGATGGGGCTGCATGGATTTCTTTTGTTGGAAGAATATGTCATTTCTTATTTTCTTCTGGCAGAACTAGAAGTTTGGATGTCTAGCTTTCTCGGGGTGTCGAGGTTGTGGGTGGTGGGTGTGTGTGGGGGGGCTGGTCCTTCACTCTCGTTCACAAAACCTGAGCACCAACATTTTCCTCCCATCTCCCTGACAACAGGGCGGGCCCTGGTGCCCCATCCACCATGAGGAGGGGGTGTTGGGAGGTAACATCACGAGAGGGCGGCAGCTGGCTGCACCCAGACACCGGCTCACGATAGGACACCCACCCACACCTGGACACCCAGGCACAGCTGGACACCCGCCCACACCTGTACACCCACCCACACCTAGACACCCGCCTGCACCTGGACGCCCAGGCACACCTGGACACCCGCCTGCACCCAGACACCTGCCCGCACTCGGACATCTGGTCCCAAACTCGGTTCCTCTTGGCAGGCACCCCGGTGGTGTCAGGTGGAGCCCAGGCCTCGGGGACCCCCAGCCCCTCACTTGTTGTACACGACCTTCACAGTCAGGTTGGCCCCATTCAAGGTCAGGAACAAGCCCTCCAGCCGCTTTGGGGTGTGGAGGGCCAGGTTGTGGTCAGAGGCCACGCCTACTTCCCGCCAGAAGCCTGCAATCTAGAAGGCGGATGGGATCAGCCTCGGAGAAACCCCCCTCCCGCCCCCGGCCTGGCTCCAGGGGGTGGTTCGCAGACCCTCACCTACAGGGACCTCGTGGCCTTTGCAAGATGGCAGATGCCACGAGGCTTGGTAGCAAAGCAGCAAAAAGGTCTGGTAGCTCTTGGCCGCACAAGGAGCCCCCCAGCACAGACTGTGCCCCCCCTACTCCCCCACCGGGCCCCCGGAGCGCCAGTCTTCCAGAAAAGCCGGCCCTGCCCTCGCCCGGCAGGGGTGGGAGGAAAGGGTGGTGGGGACAATCAGGGTCTCCTTGGGGTCAAGACATGGAAGGGAAGGGTGGAGGTTGGGCCCCGCAGAGACTGGAGAGGGTGAGATGAGCAAGGAGGGGGCGTGGCCACCAGCCTGTCCCCTTCAGGAGTGACTCCACTCTGCCAGCCCCCGGGTACACCCCTCCCGCCTTCACAGGCCCATCGCACCCAGCCCAGAACTTCTGTTTGAAACTTTTAAGAACAGGTCGGTTGTGCAAGAGAAGGGTTGTGTCCCACACCTATGTCCTCTCTGGCCCGGCTCACGTGCCCGGCCCTGCAGCAGGCACAGGCTGTATGGAAGGTGCTTGTGCACAGAGTCAACCTGATGGGAGCCTCCAGGTGCCCTCCACCCAGGTGCCCTCCTCCCCAGGTGCCCTCCTCTCCAGGTGCCCTCCACCCAGGTGCCCTCCTCCCCAGGCGCCCTCTTCCCCAGGTGCCCTCCTCCCCAGATGCCCTCCACTCAGGTGCCCTCCTCCCCAGGTGCTCTCCTCCCCAGGTGCCCTCCACCCAGGTGCCCTCCTCCCCAGGTGCCCTCCTCCCCAGATGCCCTCCACTCAGGTGCCCTCCTCCCCAGGTGCTCTCCTCCCCAGGTGCCCTCCACCCAGGTGCCCTCCTCCCCAGGTGCCCTCCTCCCCAGATGCCCTCCACTCAGGTGCCCTCCTCCCCAGGTGCTCTCCTCCCCAGGTGCCCTCCACCCAGGTGCCCTCCTCCCCAGATGCCCTCCACTCAGGTGCCCTCCTCCCCAGGCGCCCTCCACCCAGGTGCCCTCCTCCCCAGATGCCCTCCACTCAGGTGCCCTCCTCCCCAGGCGCCCTCCACCCAGGTGCCCTCCACTCAGGTGCCCTCCTCCCCAGGTGCCCTCCATGCCATGGAGGCCTCTGCTGGTCCTCGAAGTGCGCTGGGGTGGGGGGGAGGTGTAAGAGAAGCCCACCCAACCCAGGGGCAGGGGCACCTGGAAGACCAGCCAGCCTGCCTCCAGGGACCCTTGGTGAGGGCCGAGCCCCTGCCCCTGCAGGGAGGCCCTGGGCAGGTGTGAGCTCAGCATCCCTCTAGGCCCCTTAGCTGCCTGCCCTCATCGGCCAACCTGGCCAGGGGCTGGAGGGACAGGGGAGGGGCTGGACACTGCAGCCCTAGCATTGTCCTCCCAGTTGAGAGAGAGCTGCTACCTTCTGGCTGTCCAGGTCTGGCTGCACGGCCATCCTCACTTGCACCTGGAGCCCCAGGATGACAACACCCAGGACAGCACTCGGCAGCCCAGCCCCCATGCCCCCCAGGCCTCCTCACAGCAGCATGAGACGGGGTCCGGGTTCTCAGAGCCTCCTGCCCGCAGCCCTGGGTTATATTTTGGAGAGAGAGTGTTGTGCAATCAACGTGATGATGTCACTGGGCAAACTTGGGACCAACTGCTTCTGCAGGGACACCCACCCTTGGGGGCGGGGACAACCACTTCTGCAGGGACACCCACCCCGGGGGGGGCAACCATTCCTGCAGGGACACCCACCTAGGGGGCACCAACTGCCATTAGCCTGGGTGACACCCGCACCCACCCAGGGGGCCAGGGTCACACTGGGTGGCTGTGGACACTGCAGTGGGGCCTGCCTGCAGGACCTGGGGGCCTGGGAGCAGGAGGACAAGGAAGACCAGGCAGGAGTCGGGGCTTACTCCGAGGGACTGTGCTTCTTGCGGGGACCACCTGCCCAGGTGGGGACCCACGGCTTCCGGGGAGTGGCAACAACAGCTGTCTAGCCTCTTCCTCCTTCCTCCCATCCTCCTCATCCTCTGTCTGAT